TTATTATTATTATCATTATTATTATTATTATTATTATTATTATTATTAAGATTATTATTATTACTATTACTGTTATTGTTATCATTATATTATTTTATCATTTCTTATTGTCACAAAATTGTAGTACGTAAATACACTAGATACTAGATACTAGCCCGTCAAAGCCCATAATTATTCCGTCTATAATAAAATATCTTCACCTCTCTGATTCTCTGAAGAACTCCAGAACATGAAAAAAAAGNCCAATGAATATTTATCAAGCATGGTCTTGGCTGGAATTGAGCAATCATGATGAAGTAAGTATAAATATGCGACAGGGACCGTTCCCGTTAGTGGGAAGAAGGGCGTACACGGGCTTCAACAGATTTTGATAAAATGCAAGACAACCTTTTCATCTTGTTTCCGCGGCGAAACAGGATAATCGGGCAGAATGTGCATGTAAACATCGCCTTTGTGGAGCAAGAACAGCCCAGCCAATGAGACCAACTGATGATTTTTACCGTAATAAGACTCAATCGCTCGTTGAATTGATTCCGCATAACCGAGTTCACCGATTCGTTTTGTTGCACATATCTTCACTATAAATATCTTTTATGTGCACATATCTATTCGCGCATCATATCGCTCGATAACGACACTTCCATGAAGCATGTGAATAAGTTCATTATGGAATAGGGTCCCCATAGGAGGATAATTATCCATTTTTGGGTATTTTGAAGATGTCGGAGAGTAATGAAGGGGATCGGGAGATTAGTTCTGTCGTTATACATGGAAGTAGTAAATTACTGCAGCGGGAGGGGATAAAGAAGGCCTGCCAGACCATAGAAAGGGAAATGGAGCAACCAAGCGTGGGGATCGCCGATATAAAACATGTACTGGTCACAGTGATGATGGTAAGAACAATAATGACAATAACGATGACAATATTAATCAACCATAATGATGTCGATAACTACTAACAAACTTTTCTGTTGGCACATCCGTCACTAATCGCTAAGTTCGCGGTTATCTCAAAATCAGTGCTCTCAGTCGTTGACATTGTATATCCATTTGCACTGGACACTATCCATGATACTTTATTTGCTATCTGTAACGATAACCATTATGATAAATCGTGTTGTTATAGTTGAACTGATAATATTCTGAGACTATGAAATACTGCTTATTTACTGTTAATAGATTTGGTAGAATTACGGCTTATTGATAACAGTAACAAGTAATGCAATGGAGAAATGAAGTTCATGGTTATGATATGAGATAGTATATTTAGAAGGTACTACTACGAATAATAACAGCAATAATAGTAATTACAACAGTAAGAATTGTAATATTAATAGATCTAACATCTAATAATGGTAATAAAAATTAATGAACTAACTTTGAACTGGCTTTTGATAAGATTGGCATCAGCAACCAATTCAGAACTGTGTCCGATGGCATCGAACGGACCTGCTCCTGGACCGAATACGAAAGCTTCTGGTAGTTCGCATGTTTCACATACCTTCTGTAATTACATATTCATAATGGACAATATCCATTTATTCCAATTTTATTACTGCATCTAAAAATTTGAATTTGGACGTTGATACGCCACCCAATCTCGAGCAAAACTTTCCTCCAACAACGAGAATCGAACCCGCGACTGAATATCTATTCAGATTTGAATTTTGACGGCTAAAAATGGTTCGAAAGAAACTGCAAGCGATTTTCTTCTTCCACGATCGTTAACTATGATGGGTGTATCAGTCAAAATGTACGTGTCTAAGGGAACCTTCCAATCAATTTGAAACGTCATATGACAATGATTTTATTGGTATGGTCGTGCACGAAATAGACGCATTCGAATTATATTCGATCTAAGTGACCAACCTTTAAGTTGAATATTTTCTTAGTTCCGTGTGGATATAGGTTCGGTATACCACCAACTTCAGCAATTCGTAGATTATTGCCAATCCCAGATCCTGTCATACGAAACGGTGATTCTCGTAGATCTGCAAACAACTATCATTCATTCATTCAGATATTTATTCAGCTTCATTTTTTCTTTATCCTTTATTAATTGTAATTAAATCAGTTGAATATGGTAGTTGCCAAGGCACTGAATATATTGTTATTGAATGCAGAGCAATAAAAGTAATGGAATAAGACGTCAATAAGATTAATGGAATACGACGTTGGTAATGCATTGTTTCATAAAATCATGTAATACGAGCAACTCACTCGGACATTCAACAATATCGATGCTGACGTTTTCGTAGTTTTTAACCATCGAATCATGAAGAACTGATTTCAACTCATCGAGACTTGGAACAACTAGATTGATCTTATGATCGAGTTTTGTCGAGCAGTCGTTCATTGCCATTGATGAAAATTTAGTGATGTTGCCCAATTTTGATGTTATCAATGCACTTGGTTTGAATAATAACTTGATTAGTTGCATCTTATCAGTGCCCTGATAACAACGTTAATAATCTGCAAAACTGTGTGCACTATCAGAAGCAGATCAATAAACTTTGGCTGAGGCTTTCTTCGGTAATGCGCTCTCAGTTTGAATTGAGCTTGTCAATAAGCAAGTCTAGATCAAGGTTTAGGCCGATACCTGACTAATGCTAAGTAAGTCTAGACTAATTTATAGCCAGATATGAAGTAAAGGCTTAATCGGAGCTAGAATGATCTCCATATTTTGCAGGTAACGCTTTTGTCATTGGAACTTTCGACCCAACGCGATGATAAACGTGGATATGAGATATGATAAGGTCGATGATAACAAACTGATAAATTTGCATGATGATCAATTGCTGTCTAGGCTGAATTCGATATTAAACAATGAAATTAATCAAAATCTTGTCGAATGTCTCAATTAATGATAAAATTAAGCAATGATAACGATAATAAATTGTCGATCTATCGAATGCAGTTAAGAACTGAATCGATGTTCATAACTATGCTGTGTGCGATTATAAGCCAGAAATAAA